GTCCGTTCGCAAAACCTAACCCATCGTCGCAAGAAGTGGGCTTAGGACGAACTGCCAAAACTCGCATGAGTGTTCGACATCGGAATAATATACTTATCTTTATCGCCGATCTGAGACTGTAAACATGCCATGGTCAGAAATGACATTTACCGTAAAATACCGCTTAGAATACCCAGGGTACGTTACACCTGGCAATTGTCATTTATTATAATTGCGTGCATTCATTTAAACGCGTCAAATAACGAAAACAAATTTACTAGAGATGAAAATGAAGAATACCTTTACAAAGATAATGGAAAAATATTAGTGAGCCTTTTTATTTAGCTGATTTAACAAATAGAGTTGAACTAGATGAAAACAATAGTGATAATTAGGAGTTTATTAAAAATTATTACTGACCCGGATATTTTACGGTAATTTGTGGGCGCGTTTTTTTGTGTCACGGGGTGATGAATGATAGACCGCGCGATGCTTTCATAAGAAACCATTGATCCATATTTTTTTACTACTCCTTTCGAGCTATGGAAACTTTGTTCTTTTATCGACGCGCATGTCGGACCAGGATTCTTAAAAAAGGACTGCTTGTACTTTTACAAGGAAGGACTACAAAATATTTGTAAGTCATCAGAGTTTGACGACGAGCAAAAGACTATGGCAAAAAAGCTAATTGAACACATATAAAGCGGACAAAAAGAAGTGTGCAAAGTTATTAAAACTTCATGAAAACAAAATCACAGCTCATTTAGTTAGGTCGGATATGCTTCAGAACAGGGTAAGTATCTTGCACTATCCCGATAAACATATCATCGATATGTATAGCTTACAAATATTCTTAAAATTATGTATAGCTTAAATTATTAGCTAACACTGCAAGGTCCGCAAATTCCACACTTTACACAACATTCACCCAAGCTGATGTATCCGTTAGTTGTTATAAAACACCAGAAAAACAGATCACAACAGATCATGATATCTTACCAATTGGACCAAATCCTTTTATCGTTGAATCATCACAAGAAAAAAAACATGAAGACTAACAACCCATGGTTTATAGGATTGAATTTCTGGAAGATGTTAATGTGCTTCTCGAAGATACACACCTCTACAATATATTACCGGAAATTTCAAAGATTCGTGGAGTCGGGACAAATTTAATGGAGTATTATCTTAATAAAATTATTAAATATTAGAATTTATTTAAATATAAAAATTTTTATTATATACCTTTTATAAAAAATTTTTACTAATAATAACTTTTTTCAATTATTATTTCTTAAATTTTACTATATATTCATTAAATTGGATCATTGAATTTTGAGATATTGGATTTCAAAGTGGCCAATTCATTTTTAGGATTTCTGTTAGGGGTGTGTATGTCCGAAAGGTCATTCATTATAATGGTTCTGGCACCAATTCTGAATAAAGTTTTTATAAAAAATAAGAAGATCTGGTACCCAAAATACGGGGAAACATGTCCTAAGGCAAATGCTGAAGATCATAATTCTCAAAAAGCAGATAATGAATGATGTTTTCCTGACAAGAAGATTAACATAATTATTATAATAAAGGAAGATAATGAGGAGTTTTCAGTTACAGAAGTCAGCGGTCCTCCAAATAAAAATGATTGGTCACATTTTATTGGAGATTGGTTGAAAATAGCTAAGATGTTAAAAATATTGATTAATTGATTTGCAAAGCTTTATTCAGATAATAATATTAGAATGGTTAGACTATATGAAATACAATTATATTATAAGTTTTGGATACATTATTATTGCTCATTATAATTTGCATATTACTAACTTTTGAAGTTTACAGTATATTAGGTTATCATATATAAATTTTAACTTAAATATTCTGAAATATATATCATGAAAGAAGTATTATAATTTCCCCTTTCAAAAACTTGGAAAGATATGAAAAATGCTCACAAAAGTATAATAGACTTTTCATATATAATTTATTAATATTAGTTATTTTATTCAAATTTTTATTGGATAATTATTTAATTATATTTTATTGAACAATAATTAAGAAAAAGATATTTTTAGATAGTTTTACAAGCATAATGATTATAATGAAATTATCATAGCAAAGTTAGCAAAATTATCATAGCAAAACTAGCAATGCTATCATGACAAAACTGATATTATAATATTAGTAAAAGTAGCATTTAGATCATAACATAAGTATTATTTGTAGAATTTCTAAAATGTATAAAAGTAATGTATCTTAATTAGAGAAATAAATATAAAATTAAAAGAGAAATAAATAAAAAAAAATGAATTAATAATTAATAAATAAACTAACAAATTAAATAATAATAAGATAAAATAATAATTTAAATATAATAATATTATAAATTAATGATATTTATTAATAATATCTTATTAATTATAATATATATTCTTTATATTATGATTTCAGATCATATTCTAGCTAATCATATTATAAATATATTCTTGTTATCTATTTTTAATCTTGTTTTAATCTTAATCTAATATTTATTATATTATATCTTTGATTATATTAGTCTCTTTTATTTATAATTAATAATATCTTTATTATATCTTATTCTAGTCAAATATTATATATAAAGTTATAATCTATTATGAAATAATCTTTTCAAGAAGTATCAAAAATAATAATAACATCAGATAATTATATAATTATACACAATTATAATTTAAATAAAAAATTATAATAAGTAAATAATTATTTTAATGTATATTATATATATATAATTAGCATTTTTTTCAAAAAATTTTATTTTTTAGAATTTAAATAAGCAGATAATTTATAATATATTGCTATTTGATATATTATTGAATCTACAAAAAAAATAAAGATAAGATAGAAGTATAAAGATAAAAGTATTCTAATTAATAAGTAAAATCTGATTTTATAAATACCAGTTTTTTTTCTATTTTCTATAATTATATTTTTAGATTCTTATTTTTATATCATAATTTCTTATTTATACTAATTTGTTTTCTATATTTTCTTTTTATATCTTACATAAATTTTTCAAAAATTTATCTATTATAATTAAGTAGGTATTGAATTAATACTTTAAACTTATTCATAATTCACTAATTATTTTTTTTCATAATTATAAATGATATTATTAGTTTTAATATCATTATCTAAGATATATATAAATAGTATTTTTTTAAATGATAATAATATCAAATATTTAATAATTTTATATTTTAAAAATAACTTTATAATTAGATTAATTTTACTAGTTTTTATCTTAAATTATGCTTTTATAATATAAGATATATCTAATTTTACTAATAAGTTAAAATATATCTAATTAAATACTATTATATATTTATATATTACATAAAAATTAGAATTTTATAAAATTTTAAAAATAAATTACTTTATTATATTAATATTATAATATTATTTAAGAAATCTACTATTAGAAATATTTATATAATATATTTGATAAATTAGTTAAAAATATTAACTCTAATTAGTAATAATATAAATAAAATTATATATATTAAAATAATTATTTATATTAATTATTTTATTAAGAAAAAATTTTATTATCTGATATATATTTTACATAAAAAAAATGTAATTATAATAAATATTATTTAAATAGTTTATTAATATAAAAATATTATTACAAATCAAATATAAATTAATATTTTTATTTAAAATTTATACTTATATATATTATCTTCTTTTTATTTATCTGATTTAAATATAGATTTATAAGAAAATAAGAATATATTAATTATCAAAATATTTTATAAAATTAATAAAATTTTTATAAATTTTGCTATAATAGTTAATTTTGACTTTTATATAAGAATTTTTAACTTATTATAATAATTTTAATTAGATTATTTTTCTTTTAGTTTAAATCTTTATTTTGCGTTATCTATATTACAAATTAGCTTTATATTATATTTTTAAGAAAATTAATTTCATTCTGAATATATAAATGATTATTATATATTTAATATATTAGATTTAATATATTATCATACAGATAATTACTATATGTATCTATATTATTAATTTAGATTATTAATATTTTTAATTAGATATTTCTTTTAATAATTCTTTATATTTTTACTTATTCTTTTTTATTATTATTTATATTATTATTTATTATTATTTATATTATTTATAATTATTGAATTATAATTAGTTATTTTTCAGAGATATGAATTAAATTAATTAATTCTGTTTAATCTATATATATTTTAAAATAGATTTTATTATTAATTTATTTATTTTTGTATTCATTTTTTTATTATAAATAAGTATTATCTGTTTTGTAATTTTTCTTTAAATTTGAATACTTTTAAATAATAAAAATAATCATAAATTATAAAATTAAAATTATTCATATCATATTTTATCTTGTTTATAACTATTAACAAAATAATTTTATAACTTAATAATAGTAGATATAGTTATTACAAAGAGTATTCTCTAATATCTTATACTTTATATACTATATATTACATACTTTACACATATATCTTAGTTTTAATTTATTAAAAATTAGTAAAAATAAATACAAAATAATTTATATAATTTATGAAAAATATGACTGAATTAATCTAAGCCTTTATCTCATCTTTCAGTTAAACTATCTACTTATTCAGAAGAATCAAATAAAAATATACTTGTCTAAATAATATAAGTATTATATTAATATCTTAACAAATATAAGACTAATAATAATATTACTTTTTTTGAGAGCTAAAAAATCTTTGTCATAATATTAAGAGAAATATTCTAATTATCTTATTATCAATAATATCTTCACAAATAACTTTATCTTTTTTATCAAACTAAATTTGTATAAGACTATGATATCAAATTCAGAAATATAGTTGGTCAAATTACATACTTCATAGAAGGATTGAAGCCTATTATCAAAATAAAAGTTAGTTATCAGATATCAGAAACTCTAGAAAAAGCTTAGAAATTAGATATTTATTATGATATAATAATATATAAACAAGACAGATTATTAAATCTTCTAAGTAGATATAATAATAATAGTTACTGCTCTCAAAATTAATATAAAAGTTATCAGAATAATGATCCTATACTAATAGAATTAGACCAAGCAGAAAGTTATTATAATAGTAGAAAGAATAATAATAATCAGAAGAATAATAAGTTCAAAGATATATATTACAATTATAATAAATCAGATTATTTTGCAAAAAATTATTATTCAAAATCAAAAGTAAAGATAGTAAATATAGAAGACAAGCAAAAAGAATCTTTCTAGTCTTATGAGAAAGTTAAATTTACTTATCTTGAAAATAATAGAGAGAGATTATTGAAATTTAATAATCAAGTAAATGATAAGCTAATATAAGTATTATTAGATAGTAATACATTCAGAAACTTTATTAATAAGAAATTTATATAAAAGAATAAAGTAAAGTTGCAAAAGATAATACCAGTAATAATTAAACTTGCAGATAACAAGAAAATTACTATCATTATCATGATAAAAATTAATGAACTAAAGTTAGATATTTATAGAATACATAAGATAGATATATAAATATTAAAATTGCAGAAATATGATCTTATTTTAAATAAAATCTTAATTATTTCATGTTAATTTAATTATAGATTAGAGAAATAATATCATTATCTTTATCTATAGATCAAAGATAATAAAAATTCAAGCTAATAATAAAGTAAAGTCAGATTTCAGCTATAATTTAATTTACATATTAATATAATAAATTGCAAATCTACCAGCAGATATAAAGTTCTTTATTATACATCTTAATAATACTAAAGACAAAAAAGAAGCAAAAGAGAAGTCACTTTCATTTAAAGTATTAAATATCAAGAAAAAATATAAAGATATATTTTTAGAAATTTTATCTAATCAATTACTATTTAAAAGAACAATTAATCATAAAATTAATCTCATTTCAGAATCTGAATTACCATCCAGATTTATTTATAAACTTTCTTTTATAGAGAAAGATGAACTCAAGAAACAATTGGCTAATTTAATATAAAAAGATTT